TGACATGGCCTAGGAGAAAGGAGAGTGGAAGGGAGTTTTCATTATGTTAGTTGCCTAGTAACAGAGTAAAGATTCCATTGAGTGACAGTTCACTGCAACAACATTCTGAGGAGTGACTGCAGGGGTGAAATGCTCCCAGTTCGGACCTGCTCGGGCGAGTAGATAGCGATGGCGGTGGGCAGTTCGGAGAACCGGTAGCAAAAATCCCTGCCCCCGCCCCCCATGCCCAGCTGAGGAGCCAAGCTCTGACGATCCAAGCTCTGACGATCCCAGCTGAGTTGCCTGCTGATCAGGCAACTCACCTTGGCTTGTCAGACCCATTTAAAAGAAAAAAGTTTCTTTATTTCTCCCCCCACCCACCCCAGCCTCCAGCTTGCTTACCTTAGCTGCTGGTCGCAACGCCTGCTTTGCTTCGCTTGCTGTAATATCTGCAATCCATTCCATCAGCAAGCAACTGAATCTCCCTGCCTGCAATCAAGCTCATCGGTGAGCCGCTCTATCTGCAACTTTAAGACTTGTGGACTTCAACTCCCAGCAAAGCTGGCTGAGGAATTCTGGGAGCTGAAGTCCACAAGTCTTAAAGTTGCCAAGGTGGGAGACCCCTGTTCTATTGGGTAAGTTTTTTCCCCCTTTGGGAGCTTTAAAAAAAATAGTTAATTGGGTTTTTTTTTAGTTGTTCTTTTTTAGACCTAGCCATTTAAAGTTTAGGAAGTTTTAAATTTAGCTGCTTTTATATAAAAATAAAAATAAAATAAAATAAAATAATATTTGTGCAGTTTTCTGAGATTTAGTGTGTTTCTGTAGTGTTTCACTCTAACTAGCCTTGGTAGTACAGTGGTTTAATGCACCCTGTTATTAACACAGCTGCCTGCAATTTCTGCAGGTTCGAACCTTACCAGGCTCAAGGTCGACTCAGCCTTCCATCCTTTCTAAGGTAGGTTAAATGAGGACCCAGTTTGTGGGGGCAATAAGCTGACTTTGTATAAATATACAAAAGTATGAAGGCTATTGCTTAACACATTATAAGCCGCCCTGAGTCTCCGGAGAAGGGCGGCATATAAATCAAATTAAAAAAAAAAAACTACACAAACACACAAAATCTCACAAAGCTGTATGTGGAATTTTGTATGTGTAAAGTGTGAAAGTTGGTTTTTTGGGCTTTTTGTGGCTGTGTGAGGTTCCTGCTTGTTGCAGGGGACATTTTGGGTCTAGCACAGCTGCTTTTACATTGTGGGTGAGCCAGTTGTGTTGTGTTGTGTTTTGTAGGTTAAAAAAGGGCAAAGGAGTGACATTGACTTGGCCACGCCTACCCAGTCACCTTACCACCTTACCACCAAGCCCCGCACACTAATTAAGCAATGCCCACAGAACCGGTAGCAAAAAAATTTAGATTTCACCCTTGAGTAACAGCCCATAGAAGAGACAGGATTCCCTCTCTTCTCTTGGCTGGAAATAACATTTAACTCAAGTATGATCCCTATTCATGAATTTCACTCATGAATCTTACATGCTTGGATTGGGTGACACTTTCATCTTGGACCAACTTTGACCTTGGAACAACTTTAGATGACTCTTTTGCAAGCTCCTCTTTGAAAAACAGACTTGGCAGGCAAGTCCTGGCTTTGTTCCACATTTGTCGGGAAATATTATTAGAAGAAAATTCTGGTTCAAATCTTGATTGGATCTTCCAAAGCGCACACAGCACAAATTGCTTGAGGCAAAGATGATGTTTATTTGACATGGTTATGTTTATAAAGCAGCTTTTCTATTGTCCCCAGAAATGTTTGAGGATTATATTGGAATTTAATTTCATTAGTCTTATACTGTTCATATGTTTATTTGCTTCAGTTTTAAATAAGCTTAATTTTCACATTGACGCAAAGAAAAAATACAAAAGCCCAATAACTACAATGAAAAAATTAAATGTTATGAGCCTAATTAACAATTTCAGTCATTTCCCTACTTTTATCATTAGATGTTCCTTACTGTTTAGATCTGGTCTCAGGATGATAATGTAGCACTTTGGGAAGAAGATGCAGCCCAGCAAACCAGCACTGGAGGTCAGGATGGAGAAGACCTGCACAATCACCATGGACTTTCCTTTGGTGCTCAGGTAAGTTGGCAGGAAGGACACCCAGACACTGCAGAAGACCAGCATGCTGAAGGTGATCAGCTTGGCTTCATTGAAGGCCCCAGGAAGGTTCCTGGCCAGGAAAGCTACAGTGAAGCAAATGGCAGCTAGGAAACACATGTAGCCAAGGACAACATAAAACATGGTGACAGAGCCTTCATTGCATTGCAGGATGATCACTCCAAGCTGGGAGTTTAAGTCAGAGTCAGGGAATGGGGGAGAAATTCCCAGCCATAAGGCACAGATGAAAATTTGACCAGCAGAACCAGAAAGGATGATGGAGTTGGCCAAGCTCTTCCCCAACCATCTTCTCACACTGTTCCCTGGTTTTGAGGCTAGGAAAGCCAGTACCACTGTGATCGTTTTGGCCAACACAGAAGACACGGCTACTGAGAAGACAATGCTGAACACTGTTTGTCGGAGAAGACAGGTGGCTTTCCTTGGCTGTCCAATGAAGAGAAATGAGGACAAAAAGCAAAGCAGAAGGGAGACCAGGAGGATGAAGGAGATGTCCCGGTTGTTGGCTTTGACAATGGGAGTTTCTAGGTATTTAAGGAATATGATTAAAATAAATCCTGTGGTTAGGAACAAGAGTAAGGCGAAAGAGACCAGGAGGATGCCCAGATGTTCTTCATAGGACAGGAAGGTTATTCTTTTTGGGATACATTGGACTCTGTTCTCGGTTGGATATTGATCATATGGGCACTTTGTGCATTTTTCAGTATCTGAGAAAACAAAAAGTAATATTTCTTTTATATCTCTTTTCACCTTTCAAGAAAGATCTTCTTTGGGTGAAACTGACCAAGAATGGCAGGTGCCAATATTCAAAATATAAATGGGGGCTGGTTGATAATACTAACCGTGACTGTGGGAACATCCCACAACCTTTATACAGTAACATATTGCGACGAAATGCCCTCTCAGAAGGTTCCCTGGATCCCTGCATTAAATAAACCATCTTGAGGGCATTGTTGCCCAATGGCTAAACAGTCTAGATATCCAGCCATAGGTTTAGTCACTCTGGTAACTGTTCATACGTAATTTAATTTTATTCATAATTGTACCCATCATTTCTATTATGCATTGTTGAAATAATTCACCATTCTGTGGTTTTATATTTTGATACACATTTTTATATCCTGTTTCTTCTAATTTTATGTAATAATTTTGTATTCTTTTACACCGTACAAAATAAATATAATTCATTAGCGTATTTTTTGGATTATAAAACGCACCAGAGTATAATACACACCTTAGTTTTTGGGGAGGAAAACAAGAAAAAAGCTGATTGGCGGGTGGATCACCCTCCCAGAATACCTCCAATCAGCTGTTCCCAGAGGTGAACTTTAGCAACAGGTTCATTGGTTGTGAGCTCTGTGCCTTGCTTTTTTTTCAACTTTTGAAACCCCCATTTCAGAGCCCTTTTTTTCAGCCTCTCGAATGGAGGTTTCAGTGCCTTTTTTCGGCGGGGCTACATTCAGTGTATAAGATGCACCCAAATTTTCACCCTCTTTTAGGGGAGGGAAGGTGCGTCTTATACTCTGAAAAATACAGTGTCAGCTCCAGTGTGCTGTCGGCATGGAGCTGCCATTCGTGGGGGGAAGAAAACACAAACCTTGTTTCAGCCCAGCATCTGCTTCGTCTAGCCTCCCAGGAACTGACAGGATTGAGGGGAGGGAATAGCTGGGGGATGACATCATCATGGCCAGCCGGAAATAGCAAGTGGATTAATTGTTTAGATACTGGTTGTAAATACTCAAGTGAATTCACTGCTTAGATGCTGGTTGTAAATACTCAACTGAATTAACTGTTTAAATGCTGGTTGTAAATACTCACAAATTAAGTATAATCCCACTTCCTGGTCACATGGGAGGGAGCAGCGCACATGATTGGTTGGGTGTTGATAACTAATGGATAAATGGTGGTGGGAAGCACAGGGCAGTAGCCCTAACAAGAATTTCATCTGTGATTATCACTGAGTGCCAAAAAGAGATTAAACTAAGGTAGCAGCTATCTAGGTTTGTCTCCTTTTATTTCCTTCTGTTTGGAACCTGACAGATGGTAGTTGGTTTTCTTTTCTCCCTGCTTTCTGTTAGATCTGATTCCTTTTAATCCCAATAATGGAAGTAAGGCTCCCCCCCCCTTTTTAGAACCACAACTCTATTCCCTTTTTATTGCAGTTGTAACTGTTGGTATTTCATAACTTCATAAGAAAATTGGAAAGATAAAAAGAAAAGAGAAGTCACAGTAGCAATCCAACAAAGGAAACTATGATGGTGGTTATGCTGAACGTGGGAATGTTAAACTGGGCTATAAACAATATTTGTCTTTTACCTCTTAATCCATAATATGAAAAATTAAAGCATTAAAAATAAAAGAGGCCGCTTTTACCCCTAATAATGGTAAATTTAATTTATGTTCCTTCTTTCACAGTGGACCTCTCCCACTTCTTTAGGGCAAGTCTTCTGTGGGTATTTGTTGTGGCCCATCAGCGGATCTGGCAGCAGATTTGGACAGTGAGGAGGTTGAGGAGGAACATGGGCCAGTCCTGGAGTCTGAGTGCTCTGCATCAGAGGCAGAGATGGAGTCAGGGCCGTCTGACAGTTGTCAGCTACCTTCGGAGTCGGACATCAGTGGGGCAGAAGAACAGCCGGAGCCTGTTCCCAGTGTGAGCATGCGCAGAGTTGCCAGGAGAAGGGAACAGCTAAGGAACAAGTTTCAACTCGGGAGTAAAGCCACAGATGGATGGTGAATGGCTCCTCCCATAAGGAATAAAGAGGAGCAAAAGGGGAGGGAAGTTTGCAGGACACAATTCATTCAATTCATTAGAGTGGAGATCTGTTCCTGTCTTCTTGCCAAGTATTGCCTGCTACAGAATTACGTTTGGAAGAAATCGGCCTGGCAGCTCTCCAAGCCTGATAAAGGTGTGATCTTGTGAAATCTCTTGAAAGACTGTTGGCCGGGACTTTGCTGGAGAGGAATTCACTTTAAACTAAATGAAAGGAATTTTATCAGGATGAGGAGTTCACTTCGTGCTTTTGGGAAGCCTAGGTCAGAATAGGATTTCTCTCATCCCTTGAACCCAAACACTCCCTCCATGGTTCCCCGAATTAGATCTTTCTGCTTAGGGGGTTCCGTGATCTTAATAAAGATTGACTGATTAATGAATTGATTGATTCATATTTCTTTTGGGCTGTAATATAAACTTGGTTTGGGTGAGCAAAGGCCATTGATCTGAAATGATTTCTCAATTTCAAAGAAAGCAGATGTTCCTAAGATAGGTCAACATGCGTGGACAGTTCCAAACTGACAAGAAAAGAGAAGTTTCCTCTGATGCAAGTGATCTTGCACAATTCACCGTCTCCTTCTATCTCTTCCTACCTCATCCCTCAAGATCTTTTTCTTATCCCTCCCATTATGGAAGAAATTGGGCCCCTTGAAAATTAAGAACCACAAAATTATCAACCTTCGATGTGTCTTTTTTAAAATGCACATTGATCAAAACGCTCTAGATGAATTTAGTACCCTTTCCTCTGGTGTGACCCACCTTCCTGAGTGGAGATAGTCCCTTCTGGACAAGGAACACAGTCATAGCAGCAAACTGGCTCTCCTTCTTGAGCCCGCTTGAAAAATCCAGGATGACAATTTTCCACACATCTGGACTGAGGCAGAGACTAAGGAAAAAACAAGGAATGCCAAACAAAGTTTATTAGAAATAACCATCATTGAAAAATGGAGGTAGACATGAATATTAATCAAGTAGTTGGTTAGGTAAGTTGTTCGCTTAGGTAAATAAGAAATTTTTAAATAACTCTCAATGTTGCAAGGGATCTAACTACCAGCAGATTCTTCACTTAGTTCAGTGCCAAAAGCAGGAAGAATGCAGGGGGGGGTGAGGTCATGCGTGTGTGTGCCCACACCCATAATTCTATGTGCCCTGCCTCCGTGCATGTGTGCATGACCCCCTCCGCACTCCCCCGCCTTTGGCACGATGGGCCAGGTAGGCCCATTTCTTACTCTCCCCAGGCTCCAGAGCCTTTCTAGGAGCCTGGGGAGAGTGAAAACAGATTTCCCCACCCCGTGGAGGCCCTCCAGGGGCTGGAGACAGTTCATTTGCTGACTTCCGGTGGTCCCAAAAGGCTCACAAATCATCTGGAGGAGCTGAGCTCGCGTGCCCACCCTTACAGCTCTGTGTGCCACCTGTGGAACGTGTGTCAGAGGTTCGCTATCACGGACTTATTTTATTTATTTATTTATTTATTTATTTATTTATTTATTTATTTATTTATTTATTTATTTATTTATTTATTTAATTTATATACCACCCTTATCCCAAAGGGACTCAGGGCGGTGTACAGCCAGCATAAAACCCACAAATATAAAATTTAAAAAACAGTCTAAAAATATTAAATAGTTTGGCCTGTAATTAAAATAAACAAACCAATTTAAATAATTTAAGAAGAATAAAATTTAAAAAATTAGGCCAGCCTGGCTTGTTGAAATAAGAGCGTCTTAAGGGCCCGGCGGAAGGTGCGCAAGTTGGGAATCCTCTGCATCTCACGGGGCAATTCGTTCCAGAGGGCAGGAGCCCCCACAGAGAAGGCTCTCCCTCTGGGGGTCGCCAGCCGACACTGCTTGGCCGACGGCACCTGGAGGAGCCCCTCTCTGTGGGAGCGAGTTGGCCAGTGGGAGGCTATTGGTAGCAGCAGGCGGTCATGTAAATACCCGGGTCCTAAGCCATGGAGCGCTCTAAAGGTGGTAACCAATACCTTGAATCGCACCCGAAGGACCATCGGAAGCCAGTGCAGCTCATGCAGGAGAGGTGTTACATGGGAATGCCATGATGCTCCCATAACCACCTGTGCGGCCACATTCTGGACCAGTTGGAGCCTCCGGGTGCCCTTCAGGATTTAGTTCCTCTCTTTTGCTTCTAGAATATCTCATTGTAATACAGTATACTTCTATTTAATAAATTCTGGAGAGAAGCAATTGAGAAAAGATTTAAGCATGAAGTGACAATTAGTGGTTCCTCCATATGGTTATATCAGCATGCCTTCCTCGTTTCTTCATGTATCCATGAGTTTGAAGTATGATGTTTTAGTCATATTAAAGTTTAGAATGAAATTTATTCTGAAAGGTTTGTGATTTTTTTTATTTTACCAGATTTATTGAAACAGAATAAAAATGTGATGAAGATACTTCTGGCTAATGGGATCTGGGAAGGTTTCTTCTAGACCACGTGTATCATTGTATCATCTTTCTTCTTGTGCCATATTCGTCATCGGACATTGGCCAACATGATCACCAACATCCGATGACGGATATGGCACAAGAAGAAGAAGAAATCCAATCATTGCAAATCCACCCCCATTTGTAAGTGGAGCAGGACAACCTTCCATTTAAGTTCTAAAGGAAAACATTGTTACAGATTAGGGTTGGATTTGGTGCAGTAATTAGAAGGCAGAATTGCAGGCTGACTCTGTCCACTGCCAGGAGTTTGATCCTCACTATCTCAAGGTTAACTCAGCTTTCCAGCTTTCCGAGACTGGTAAAATAAGGATGAGATTGTTGGGGACTCTGTAAAGTACTTAGAAAGGGCTGTAAAGCACTATGGAGCAGTATATAAGTCTAAGTGGTATTGCTATTTATTTGTATATTTATTTGCTAATTTTATATGCTGGTGAACTAAGACTAAACTGACTGCCTAGTTTTTAGAACTGTAGAGAGATGAGATGGAGATGAGGTGCCCTTAAAAAGGGTAAGTCATTCATTTTTTGCTGCATCATATGGGACATGAGTAGGAGCCCTGTGTCAGAAAGAGATGTTTCTAAGGCAGGGGTGTCAAACTCTATTTAATTGAGGGATGCATCAGGGTTGTGTTTGATCTCGGGGGACAAACAAAATGAGTGACATTGAGCTGGCTAGGGGGCATGGCCAGCTCAATGCCACTCATTGAGGCTCCGTTTTCAGCCATGATGGTCTCCTTCAGCCCTCTGCCAGAGAAAACAGAGCTCAGGGAGGCCACCACCCGTGGCCCACCCTGGTTCTGTTTTCTGCTGCAATGGCCTCCTGCAGCCCTTTGCCAGTGAAAATGAAGCTCAGGAAGGCTGTGTGCTGGGTGGGTCCTTCGCTGTTTCCAGGTGGACCCATGTGACAAATGAAAGCACCCCATGGACCGGATCCAGACCCCGGGCCTTGAGTTTGACACCCCTGTTCTAAGGTCAAGCTAGTTATCCAAAAAAAGTTCCTTTCTGTTGGAAAACCACCGTTAGGTAACACCAACTGGCACAAAAATACAGAGCTACATTGATTATTTGTTACATTTGGAGACTCCTTTTTCCCAGAGAAACTTAAGGTAGCTAATAATCAAAATAAACAACTGCATTCAAGGATGTTCCTTATGAGGTTATAAGCTAAAGACCCAATCTAAGTAACTCCACTCCCCCAATTTGTCCCTCATTTCTTCCAATATGAAGAAGGGTTTTTCTTTGAATCAAGTCATTTTTCAGTGCTTCAATTTTCTGGGTCAGGTCACATCAGAACCGTCATTATGATATCATGTGAACTGAAAGCCTTGGACCTTCTCCTCAGGAGCAGAAGGCCTATTCGTCTGTCCCCATGGCATGAAAGACAAGTATGGAAAATTCTGACATATATGGTCTGTTTAAGAAGATAAGCTTGCCCAACCATGGCAAGCTAAATCTGAATTCCCAATGGTATCAACAGGAATTGCATCCAGTCTTGATTAGAGTTATCCTTGCCTCTTTCACTCCACCAGGAACGTGGGTGGTGGTCAAAAGACTTGCATTCCATTTTGCTAATTTGAAGCAAGGAAACAAGACAAGTTGGTGCTATGAGCACCAAAATCCCCAGCACTTGATGTCCCCTTTCAGCGGTTTTATACAGATATTAGTTTGCACAGGGGACACAAAATAGCCATCATCACCCAGCATCCCAAGTTGGACATGGCTGAATCAATTTTAAACCACGTTTCAAAGCACGGCATCTAAAGGACACCTTACCAATTATATTGAAACCTCCTAAAACATTTTTTAAAAATTAGAAGGATTCTACTCCCCAAATTCAATATTCACTGAAGCCTATTTGGTGAATAGGCTTAGCTACTTGAAATGTGCCCTAAGGCTTTGGAAAACAGAGAAAAGACACCGATATTTAATTCACCTTGTTGAGCAACTTTAGTTGTGAAATAGCATCTTGATCGATAGTAAGTCTCTGTCTTATAAAAACCCCTAGTTGCTCTTTAATGGGATCCTCCCTGGAGAGAACTATCAAGCTTATGATGTCCAGATCTGCTGCCACATCACCATTTTGGTCCAAGTATATTTTCATGTGGGAAAGATTGCAAAAGTCATTCTTCTTCAGAAATGAATGGAACTAGAACAAAAATATCCAGGAATGTTAAAAGCAGAAATACTAGTCTGGAGTAGCCTTCAAAAGTTGTACGTGCTCCATCACTGGTGGCTTCCAAAAAGGGACTGGAAAACCATATGTCTGAAACGGTATAGAGTCTTCTGCTTGAGTAGGGGGTTGGACTAGAAGGCCTCAAGGTCCATTTCAACTCTATAATTCTATGTCCATGTCCACATCTCTGTCTAACTACACTTGATAAGAATATTTGTGGAAATTATCTCAAAATAGTAGATTGCAAACCAAATGTGAGTTGGCCGTGTGATGCTCATGGAAAGAAGGCAAATGCATTGATAAAAATATTAGAAGTAAATGTGCAGGTTTGGAGAGAAATTGACTCAAGTACAAAGTCCCCTTGCAGGCACCCCCCTTTGAGAAGACATTGTACAAATACTGGCTCAGCTTTAGAGATGGGCAATGAAATCAAGGAAGAGAACAAAAGAGCTGGTCTTAGCCTGGAAGAAAGGCAACAGGAGAAGAGTCATGTTCATCTATGGGGATGAAAATCAGAAGGAATCTAGGAGCACCTTTTACAATGGACAAAATCTCTTGGCTGGAGAAAGGAGAATACAGCACTCTTCCAATAGCTGAAAGATGTTACATGTCAGGCTCCAAGTAACGCATCCCTCACAAATCAAACTCCAGGGCATTTCCTTTCCCCAAAGGAAAAATAACAGATGTTTACTGTTATTCCAGAGCAGGGGTATCAATCATGGAGGGCTGCATCAGGGTTGTGTTTGACCTCGGCGGGCTTGGTGGACAAGGGTGGGGTGGGCGTGGCCAGGGTGGGCATGGCCAGCTTGATGTAACTTGTGTTGGGGGCACCTGTGGTGGTCTGGGCAGGGCTGGGGGGATCCAAAAACGGAGGTGGCAGAGGGCTGTAGGAGGCCATTGCGGCTGAAAATGGAGCACAGAAGTGCAGCTCTCCAAAGCTCCATTTTCACTGGTAGAGGTACCGTGGGCCGATCCTTCACTCTTTCCAGGGCAGCCTCACAGGCCAGATCTAAACAGCCCACAGGCCAGATCTGGCCCACAGGCCTTGAGTTTGACACCCCTGTCTCAGAGTGTTGGAAATGGAAAAAATGAGCTCAGTCACAAGAGAAGAGATTCTGGCTGAATGAGGTGAAAAACATCCTAAAAGGAGGAACAATTTTAGAGTTGATCTAGTGAACCGGAGAAGCTCAAGTTTCCTCTTCACTGATAGCTTTAACGCAAAGATCCAGCAGCCATTACTTAAAGAAGCTTTAACTGGAATTTCGGCAGGCAGGAGGGGTTGTACTAGATGGCCTCAGGGACTCCTTCAAATTTATGAACATAAGATTCCAAAATGCTAATTGCAAATTCATAAGGACTGGAATTTATTTAAAGATGCATACATACTTTGTAAAATTAACACTGTCTTAATGTCAAAATGTATATGTCACGGTACCCACTCTATGAAAAATTATCCACAAGTGATTGGGTTAGTCAAACGTGTTGGCCTTTTGAAGCACAATAAGGTTGAAATGGTTCCCTGCCTCCTTTCTATTCCTTCTCCAAAGAAAATAAGTTTCATGGATCTTTGTTGAGACTCCATACCTGCCATGGCTTCAGCCTTCGAGTCCCCAGCCTCTCTTCTCCCTCTTTCCTTCTCCTCTTGAATATGGAGGAATAAGCAGCATTCAAGGCATGGGGCATAATACTCATCATAGCATAAACATATCGGTTATACTGGTTCCACATCCTGCTCCTTTCCACTTTGGTGTTAAGTGGGGATGTCTGAGTGCATCTTGTCCGTCCTTTGACAGAAATGTTGTCTTTTGAAAAAGAACACTGAAAAGACTGATTGTTGAACTGTGGTTCCAGAAAGAAATCTGGTTCGAAGGAACCATCATTTGGCTTTTTTTTCCACTGAAAACTGTAGTTCCAAACACTATGGACATATTTGAGAAATGTGTGTCTTCTTATTTGCATTTCCCCATAGCCTGCATATAGCCAGACTTTTCCTTCAATGGGTTCTGGCAAACCTTGAAGTGTTGAATGGAAAAGAAGAATTCTGTCCGAAAATGAAAAATAGGTTGCAAAGTGAACAAAGACATTGACTTGTTTCCACTTGGAGATGGCATCCCTGAGGGCTGCTGTACGTGCAGGGGTTGATAAAAGTTGTGATATAACAATACAAATCCCATTCCTGAGAAGCAGAGGTGTCAAAATCCTCATGAAGTTCACTCCATTGTCTGTGTCTGAAGCAAAGAGACCAATCAAAGACCATCCAAAATGGAGGAGCAGTTGGACAATTCCTGGGTTGAGAATCGCTAATTTGGGGAGCGTCTGGTAGAAATAAGGGAGTTGTCTTTTATCATTCAGAGCTTCTGCAGCAATTGAACAGATCTGGGTAAAAATATGAAGATTGCTGTATTTGGGGGTCAGTTATTGGCTTTCAATAAATCCAACTCAACCAACTGACTTCAATTTCTTAAAACCATAACTTTTCAGCTTGCTTTATTAATAAGTATTAATAAGATTTATGGAGACAACAAACCTTTATTTCCCCTGACTGACATATTCTGTGATTACACGCAGGAGTGGTACTTTCCTTACCGGTTCGCAAATATGAGCGCACATACGACTTCAGCACATGCACACGGCCTCAAAAACATGCCTAAATAGGACTTCATACAGCCAGGGCAGGCCCACTCATGATTTCCACTACTGGTTCACCCGAACCAGTCCAAACCGGCTGAATACCACCTCTGATTATACAGTTCATGACAAACCAATTGTCAACAATGGATTATCTGTGCCTTCTTATTCTCAAAGAATAAGAATCTTTCTTATTCTTTGTTCTCCTTCATCTTTCCACTCTGAACTTTATTCAAGAGGAACAAGGTATTGTTTTTAGCCATAATATCTATTAGATGAATCTATTATTTATTTATGGAGAAGAACCTGCAAATTGCAGATCCCACAGATTGGGATATTTCTTGAATCGTTCAGCCAATTAAAAAATCCTTTCTAGGAGCTTTGTTGCTCTTCAAATCCTTTGTGTTGAATTTGATCATGGACTGATTAGGGTAAAAAATAGTTGACATATTGATTAATATGCTTGTACTTTTTAAATGAATTGGATTAATTAATGGGAGTGGTCAGTGTAAGTCCAAAAACATATCTTTCTTATAAGCTTTAGGTAATATAAGCCATTGGAATTCTTTTCGCAAATTAGGAAAGTATACATCATTGAAAATATTATTTTGGCTAAGCTGACAAAGAAAATGAAAGCTTTCCATCAGTGCTTCCTTTTCTACAGAAGACCCTTTGATTGGACACAAAGCCCCTCCTCACCTTCACAAGTGTGCAGGAGAAGCCCCCAAAGCAATGGGGATGTTGTCATGAAATTATATGGCTGCTTGGGTCACACACGCACACACACACACACACACACACTATCAATCCCATCCCTTGACAACACACCTAGAGTGGCCATGGAGAAAAGCAGCTCTTGAATTCACATGACGTATTGGTAAGGTCTAACAAATCCTTAGTAAGACCACACCTAGAATACTGCATCCAGTTTTGGTCACCATGTTACAAAAAAGATGTTGAGACTTTGGAAAAAATGCAGAGAAGAGCAACTCAGATGATTAGAGACCTGGGGACTAAAACTTATGATTTTATGAACGGTTGCAGGACTTGGGTATGGCTAGTCATACCCATACCCATATGGCTGACATGATAGCAGTGTTCCAGTATTTGAGAAGTTGCTATAAAGAAGAGGGGTCCAACTTATTTTCCAAAGCACCAGAAGGCAAGGCAAGAAACAATAGATAGAAACTAATCAAAGAGAGAATTTAGGAGAAACTTCCTAACAGTGAAAACAATTAAACAGTGGAACTGCTTTCAGAAGTTGTACATGCTTCTGGAAATCTTAAAAATCTCACTGGAGATTTTAAAAAAGAGACTGGACAGCCAGTCGTCTGAAATGGTGTAGAGTCTCCTGCTTGAGAAGGGGATTGGACAAGCAGATCCCTTCCACCTCTATTCTGATTGATTGATTGAATTCCACAGAGGAGATATAGTTGGATTTATCGCTTACCCATCCGACCAATCCACCCAATTTACTAGATAGAGAGGTACACATACAAACCTGTGGGATTTTGTAGGGGGCTATTAATGTTGATATCTGGATGGAGATCTCACTGCCAGTTTCATCAAAAAGAGCCAAATGGTTGTCCTTCTTTCCACAGCTGTAGTTGGGAACATTGGCTTCTCCTGTAGAGAGGATGTCCAGCAAGGCATCTGATGTGCCAAGAGTGCTGAAATAGTTGTCATGGATGTTGTAGCCAAGTGTGAGATTGTGGAGGAGCGGGGAATTCTTACTGACCATTTGAATAGCGAAAATAATGCGTAGGATTCTAGACTGATCAAAGGATGTTCTAGTGTAAAAAATGTTCATTTTAACATCACCACCACCACCATCATCAATCTTAAATTTTATATTTTTTAATATATCTTTGCTTGACTAGTGAAAATGAAGCATTGCACTTCTGAATGAGCAATAGATAAACTCCTGTAAAAATGATCACATTATTATCCATCCTTCCAAGGTTGGTAAAATGAGGAGACACATTGTTGGGGGCAATCTGCCAATTCTGTAAACCACTTAGAAAGGGCTGTAAAGCACTGTGAAGCGGTATATAAGTCTACGTGCTATTGCTACGGACACCCAACAATAAAAATCTCATCCAAAAAAAAAAAAAAAAAAGCTCAAACTGCCCAAGGAGCTGCTGATCCAGTTCTACAAAGGAATTATTGAGTCTGTCACCTGCACCTCTATAACTGTCTGGTTTGGTTCTGGAACCCAACAAGACAAACTCAGACTTCAGAGGATAATTAGAACTGCAGAAAAAAACATGGCTACCAACGTGCCCTCACATCCTGGACATAAACTGTTTCAACTCCTATCCTCAAAACAACAATATAGAGCACTGCACAACAGAACAACTAGACTCAAGAACAGTTTTTTCCCAAACGCCATCACTCTGCTAAACAAATAATTCCCTCAAAACTGTCAAACTATTCAATAAGTCTGCATTACTATTAATCTTCTCATCATTCCTATCACCCATCTCCTCCCACTTATGACTGTATGACTGTAACCTTGTTGCTGGTATCCTTACGATTTATATTGGCTGTTTCCTAATATGATTTTATTGCTTATTTGTACCCTATGACTATTATTGTGTTATACCTTATGGTTCTTGATGAACATATCTTTTTTTTATGTACACTGAGAGCGTATGCACCAAAGAGAAATTCCTTGTGTGTCCAATCACACTTGGCCAATAAAGAATTCTATTCTATTCTGTTCTGTTCTGTTCTGTTCTGTTCTGTTCTGTTCTGTTCTGTTCTGTTCTGTTCTACTCTGTTCTATCATCATCAACAGAACCAACAACATATTTGTTTTTCAATCTAATCCACTTTGTCTCTTGAAGCCTACAGAATCTTAAGCCAACACTGACTCCAAACCCAGAGACAAATGATACTCACCCATCTCCATTTAATTTTAATGAATGTTGGGGAGATGGAATTGATACAGCCCCCCTCTGGGTTAAGAATTGCAAATGCACCATTATTTGTAACAATACTAATTTTCATCTGGCCAGTAACCAAGGTCAGAAATAAATGAATGATTAAAGTGGAATCACCATAGAAAGAAGAGGATGTTTCAAAAGTGACTCAGAAACCAACTGTAAAAAAATAAGTCATCTTGTATTTCTGTAAGGATCAGGAATAAATATCAATGAGTAGTTGTATTTGAAATGAGCTGGGCAGGGAGAAACCACAATAATCACTAATTTAAACAAAAGTCAGTACAGTATTCAAATCACAAATTCAAGACTGAACAGGGAGAGGAAAATAATTCTGTCCCATCTTTGGACTTGAGTCTTTTCCTCAAAATAAGACAAAGAAAGGATGGAAATCAACATGATTCAGGAAAGTAGATATGACATGTCCTGCAATATAGAAGCCAGTGGAGTAAGGAGAACAAAATGAGAGAGTTCAAATTATAAACGGAGGGAATGCAACTGCATTATCCTGGATGACTTACGAGTCAAACTGATTAGAAGGCTCTGCGTTGAAAGGGAGCGTTATATGCACCAGTTTTGATGTAGCGATGATTATGTTAATGAAATGGTCTCCTGGTCTGTAATAACTCCATGGTTTTTTTGCACCCTGGTGCTCTAAACTCAGCGGGCATTTCATTCTCAGCTTCCCTGAGACAGGCTGGGACAACAGCAGCATCAAAAGCAGAAACAGAAGGTCCATCATTCGTAGGGCTGAATCAATAACTTTCCTGTTTCTAAACAAGAACAGAAAGAATTAAAAGCCTTCTCATAAAAGCCAGTGACTTTCCTGATTCAGACAGAGACAAACCAAGCTTCACCTGGAAAAGAGAGAAAGGTACATTTAACAGCACAGCCCCTACCTGTCCTAAAATTCAGATAACACAGAGTGTGATCTAAAGCCTTTATCCTTTCCTTGAGGCCACCTCCCTCCATGTTGCTTCAGTCTGCTGTTTACATCAGTTACTGGAGAAGTAGAAGACATCTCAAAGAGCAGGATGGTGATAATTACAGTGGGAAGCAACTTTTCCTCTGGGGATGATGAACTCCTTCCTTGGCTCCATTTGCAGAAAAGAAGCCAGAGTACAGCATGTTACTGAAAAATTACAGATACGCCTCTGAGGGCAGGGTTCTGTATTGGTTGTGGTCAGGACGCGTCCAGAAAATGATGCTGGAGGAATACACAGTGTTGTTGTTGACTTCTGCTGCTCTTCAACATGGTCTCGGCTCAGGGGTGGGTTCTAAATTTTTTTACTACCGGTTCTGTGGGCGTGGCTTATTTTGTGAGTGTGGCTTGGAGGTCATGTGACTAGGTCGGCGTGGCTTGCTGGTCAGAGTCATTTCTGGAAGGTCCTCGTACTTATGACCAGTCCTTGCACTTACGACCCGACTAATTT